CTAAGCTATCGATAGCCTGATAGCTAATCTATCGATAGCCTGATAGCTAAGCTATCGATAGCCTGATAGCTAATCTATCGATGGCCGGATAGCTAAGCTATCGATAACCTGATACCTAAGCTATCGATAGCCTGATAGCWAAGCTATCGATAGCCTGATAGCTAGATAGATACTTTTATTTAAACAGGGTTATCCTATCAGTAAAATACAATAAATTTACTGTTATCAACAGGAGCCCTAAAAAGCCCTAGCTAAGCTATCGATAGACTGATAGCTAAGCTATCGATAGCCTGATAGCTAAGCTATCGATAGCCAAGAAGCTAAGCTATCGATAGCCTGATATAGCTAAGCTATCGATAGCCTGATGCACGTGGTCTGAATGTGTATAAGAAGGACTGCAATCTCTAAGTTCATTCATAACTGAGAAGACTCGAGATGACTCGCATGTGTTTATTGTGCCAGAAATCGGTTAAAAACCTATCGTCTCATTTGAGTCGGGTCCACAAAATAAATGGTCCAGAACGCACATACTGGTTTCAGCAAGGAAAGAGGATCAAAAATGACCTGGGTCATCTTTTCAAACCCACCACCTCACGGACGCGGAAAATGGTCCAACAGATATTTGTAGTAAATTCCAGTTGCTGCATCCATTTACTTGTATGGTAGGAGGAATTACAGATGCGGAAAAACATCTTGGGTACAGCAGTTATTGGAGCATGCGCAAATGATCATCAACCCTCCACCTCAGCGTATTGTATACTGTTATTTTCAATGGCAACCAGCCTATCTAGAAATGTTAAGAACCGTGCCTGGCATTGAATTTATTAGAGGTATTCCGCAGGAACTGGATCAAGATTATTTTTTAATGTAAATGTACGAAATCTTATAGTGATCGATGACCAGATGACCGAAACTGGGAATGATAAGCGAGTTTTAAACTTGTTTACTAAAGGATCGCATCATCGCAACCTGAGTGTCATCTACATGGTACAGAATATCTTTCATCAAGGAAAAGTTAATCGAGGCATTAGTTTGAATTGTCATGATTTGGTTATATTCAAGAATCCAAGAGATAAACTTCAAATTCTCAATCTATCCAAGCAAATGTATCGTCCTGGAAAAACTGAATATTTTCTGCAAAAATATGAACAAGCCGTGAGTAGACCTTATGGATATCTCTTCATTGACTTGAAGACAACCACCCCATACGACTGCAGACGGAGAACCAATGTCTTCCCTGGAGAGAAGAAAGAGCAAGAGAAAAATGTACCTGAGGAATTGCTTCATTACCTCGGTAGGCAATATCTTGTACTACCCCCAGAGATTTTGAGAATGCAAAACTTGAAAGATCAAATGAATACCCTTCTAAAGGATCCTAATATGGACAACAGTCAAAAAGCAAGGCAAAACGTTCATCTCCAGAACAATTATCTGCGCTACAAGGACAAAATAAATGGCCCAGCACAGTGTGATCAGGTAATTCAACACCCCTTAGTAGCTTCGCTGCGAAAATTCAGTCATCATCAGACCAATTATCTATCGAGCCCGCAAGGAGTTCACCGCTACCTGCTGAACGTAACCTTCTAACTTTCTTCCTCCACACGCATTATCACCTATCACTGCCTCTCCTGTGTTACTCTCCACTGAACCACAAATGCCAGAGACTCCTACATCATCTCTCATGGCACCTTCTCCTTTGATACAACCACCTTCTTCGCTATTAACCCCACCTGATTCACTTCCCAAACGTCGTAAACAACCACGTCTTGAATTACTAAACTATTTAGAAGGTGACCCCAACAAAAAGCCTTGAAAAAGTGCGCGTCGATCAATACGATTAAAGATGAACCATTCCCCTTATAACTACTAGTATGACAACTAGTTCATAACCTTAGTCCAATAAAAAAGGTTGATAATATTTGAAATATTGTTATTACTGTAGTAAATGATAAATAAATATTTTACACTCCAACGTTTTCCTTCTTATTTGAATAATTAGGTAGAACTTCGTAAGTCTTATTGTTTGTAGTTTATGAGTCAGTAATTGTATTGTCTTCGACACAATAGTCACTAAATTATAATTCATAAAACGATATCTACGCGCTCCAAATGTGGAATAAAATTCAAAATCCCCGCGCTCTATAAATTGGATTGCTTAGCAAAAGACTTGCCCAAACTTGTCTAACAATACTCTGCTCGTCGTTTTTTGGTAACGATTTAATAAGCAATAGTCTGCCCGTCATTTTATGATAACGATTTAATAAACAATACTCTGCTCGTCTTTTTATGGTAACGATTTAATAAACAATAGTCTGCTCGTCATTTTATGGTAACGATTTAATAAACATTAGAAAACCATTAACAATGCATGAAGAAAACACAATAGAAATCACGACCATGAAGGTGATTTTATATCTGATAAAGATTCGTCTTCATTTGCATAAACTTTAACTTGGATTTTCTCTATCAAACTTGGTTCATTTCGTATTGAAATCGGTACACTATGAGAACAAACATCATGAGTTTTCTAAGCCGTTCAATAATCTTGCAGATCGTGTTTTATCGGGTCTAAAACCACTCGGCTACGCCTCGTGTTTTATACCCGATAAAACACTCCTGCTCGTTTATTAAACATTACTTATAGTCTGCTCGTCATTTTATGGTAATGGTTTAATAAACAATGGATAACCTCGTCTTTTTAATGATGAATAATTAATGTACTCTTCCTACTAGTCCAAAACTCTCGCCTAACAATAAACTCATGACGTAATTTGGCCGTCATGGCAACCTCAAACAATACATGCTCGTCATTTTATGCTAATATGTGATGAATAATTAATGTGCTCGTCCTTCTCGTCCTTTTGCTCGTCAAAAATCCGGATCTTGCGGTGCGGCCTATACTACTAATACATTTATTTTTTACTTCCACTTAAGAGTCTCAAGAAACTTGTTTACTTGTTAACTTGTTTTGATTTATATTTAAAATGTTTAAATGGTGAAATGAAAGATATTTGTATTTACCAGTAGGATGTCCACACGAAGTTCCTCTGATGTGAAACGCAGACAGTTTGCCATGGCCACCTTCAGGTTTACAGTGCGCAAGYGATGCTTCGTTGCCATGACACCTTTCAAGGGACAGAATTGTTTGCCATTCTGTTATCAGAGGCGGATACCATGGACTTCCTTTACCAACCATACCAAGCATCTTGCAGGCTAGACTTGATTCTGTAGTTGTCCAGTATCGAGAATTAATCTTGCCCCACTTGCCGCCAGTTTTGACTTCGACATAACCTTGATTGGGTGTCGCACCTCTCGTTAAACGAATGCCTTGAAGTATTTCTTTTAAATTCCAAAACAAAAAAAAAAACAAAAAAAAAAACAACAACACAGAAATGATCAATAAGCCTATTACGCAATTGGAGCGACCATGCGCATTACATGGATGAACCTTTGTACCCTTGCAGAGAGACAGAGAGAGAGAAAAATATGAGCTTGTGTCGATGAATGAATGAAAATGCAAGTAATGCAAGGTTGGACCCAATTGAAGATCTCTTTCAAAGAATATCTTTGGCATAACAGAAGAATACAAATGAAATCCCACTTTCTCTCCATGGAATTCACTTTTCACTCGGGTCTCCATAGGAAATTGGACCCTGGAAATTGCCCCACGGGGCCAATATGGTATTTACTTTGTAATTTCCAGGCGTTTTAAACAAATACGATTGCAGAAACGTTGTAGTATACATTTATACAAATATCTAATTTATTCAGTATATTTGATGATATGCAAAACAGAAAAATCGCTTTATTTATTGTTTGTTTCATTCAATGACTGTCAAAATATTTTTTCTTGTCTATTAGATCGTACAGAATAATAAATCACTTGGTTTTAAGCATTGAAAATGGTTATTTCGCATTATGCATCTCATTAGATATTTGCATAAATGTATAAATGTATACTACAACGTTTCTGCAATCGAGTGTATATATATATATATATATACATATATATACACTTGATTGCAGAAAGGTTGTAGTATACATTTATACAAATA